AATCTAAAAGTGATAATTTTGGAACATTTTCCATAGGATTCCATGTACAATTATTCCATGGATAACTAATATTCAAAATTCTCCCATTTTTTGTGACAGTCATATTTAGCCCTCGTAACACTACATATCATTTTTCAGCATATGTCCCTGAACACAATTGTGAGATATGATTGAATGTTTCTGCCATAGGAACCAATGGTAAACTGTTGCAATGTTGATCAATTTCCCGAGGTCAGAAATTTTAACCTTACAGTGACCCAACCCAACTTGCTGGATTTCGAGGATTTCCAAATATTTTTTTTTTAATGGTAGCAAACTACCTTAGTGATTTTTATATTTTCATATTAGGTATCTGTGTTATGGGTGATTTTACTGACACTTTACCATCGGATGCCGCAATGAAAACAGTGCAGTCACTTATCAAGTACTGTGTTGAAAAGTAAGAGGCATTTAAATCCACCATGCTGACTATATTGGCCCAAAGGAAAGGGAATCATGATGACACTAAGCAAGATACAGTCACTGCCACCCCCACAAGAAAAGAAAACCTATTTTGTGCTATCATCAAAACCAGTGTTATTTGGCAATTATGAAAATCCTATTTTCAACTTCTTGAAAACTACCAGCTCAATTGCTTTTATGTTTGGCATGTACCAGTATAAGGTACCTTGGGTGGATCTCTCTCAGATTTATTCATTTTGTGATGATATCTTCAATTCTCTAATTTCGATGAATATTTTTGTCATTTTTGGTAAAAAATCCTATTTTCAATAGCTCAATTGCTTTTATGCTTGGCATAAGGTACTTTGGGTGGACCTCTGTCAGATTTTTGTAATTTTGTGATGATATCTTCAATTCTCCAATTTTGGAAAATATTTTTGCCATTTTTGGTAAAAAATGTTATTTTCAACTTTGTGAAAACTACAGCTCAATTGATTTGATATTTTAGGTAGGTGTACGCTTGTTCACATGATAAACTGCTTCCTATAATTTTACGTTCTAGTAACAAAGTGATAGACGACTATATACTATACGGTCATCGACAAGTACGTCGTGAAGGTACAACATGCCCCGGTGATACATTCTTTGACCGTGTAAAGACCTGGCCACATTGGGTGAGTTTTCAGTGTTACCTTGTGCATCTGTGGTGCATCTATGGTGTTACCATGGATACACTAATGATGGACATTGTAAAAGGTTTTCTAGATAGCTTGTGAGCTTTGAACAATGGATGATGCTTTTTTCTTAGTTTGTGGTAACTTTTTTTTTTTAATTTATTTTTTAATTATGGGTCATACAGCAATCGTTTTCATTGGCTACAGTTATGAATCAAATATTGTTATATTTTAATCTCAACTCAAATTACTTCAAAAACTGGTTGTTTCTTATCACATTTATTTCAAAATTTGCATCATATAATTTATTTATTTAAACCATTCACATTTTCATTCTAATTTACCAGTCAACATTTCTACTTTTTGCTTTACATTGTCATTATCGATAGCTACTGTTATTTGAGTCAGTGCTGTTATCGTTATCATGGAACTCCACCATTAACAATGATGATGATGGGTTAAATTATAATTCAAATCTATAGAAGAATGCAAAGGCAGGCAAAAAATATTGAGTAGGAGAAAATCACCCTTGAGCGTCAGTCTTACATCCATGCAATATATATTCTGTTAGAATTGATGATTTGGGAAACTGCAAATCACAACCATAAAATCATTTGAAACAAATATCTTTTGGTCACATAAACACAACCCCAAAAAAGTGCAGGCAGAATTGTTTTTTCACTTATTTTTTCAATGCACAGCACCCTCTGTTGACAAATTGATTAAGCCCAACAAATTTGTGCACAATCAAATATTTCAGTCGACTCTCAAAAATAATTCTAGTAACTGCCTAATTTTTGAAAAAAAATAATTTGACAGAGAATTTGTTTTTGTGATACCTATTATGAACCATGGCATTATTCCTGCTAACATTTTGCACATTTGTATGCCTTTTTATACATTTTCTTAGTTAAATTTAGACAAAATGGTCTACAAGTCTTGAGAAAATATTAACAAAATTGTATAGGTTAAATTCTTGAAAGGTGACAAGTTGTCTGGCATTCAAAGGGTTACAACCTACATAAAGCCATCCTATTGTATAGTGCCCTCTATAGGTAGATTTATAGAGCGAAAACTACTAGTACTAGTATATCAAATGTACTACCTTCACCTATGAATACAATGATATTTAACTGTTAGTATATTGTATGATTTGTCAATAGGTGCCGGGACAACACTTTCCTCCAACCAAATGATAACAAATTTGGTGAAAACGGTGAACATTTTATATTCAAGAAATGTGTGCATAGATGTTTATTGCATATACCGGTAGCGCCCTCTAGTGGTGTATATTTTTTTCTGCTGGTCTGTGCACCTTGTCATAAAGGATCAACACTGTGTTGTCTCAGATTGATTGGAACTCATATTGGTTGAATTTATATTTTTTATAGCTCTCCTGCAGATTGAACTAGTCAGGGATTACAAGTGTACACCATCATTTTGCAATCATGTTTTTAAAGGAAAAACAATCCAGTGTCACTGTACAATATCTTGCATGTTAGTATGTAAATGTTTTTTTGTGTGTGTGTTTGTAACTATATTCATACTACCGGTACATGTAGTTTGTATACAGTGAGGCTCAAAATATTTTGTTATCTGAATTATATGTTTGGTACTAATTTTCAGCCAATGATGGAGTTTTGTGATGCTAAATAATACATCCACTAATTTGAGCTGTCTTTCAACACTAACACATCGAGCTTGTTTTTTTCAGTTCAATAATGTATTTTGAGTGATGTGAGAAAAACATGCCTGCTGCTCATACAAGACTAAAAATTCCCAATTTGTGTGAAAAATTTAATTCCAGGCCTGACTCTATTAAACTCTCGGTTTATAAAGTCTGTGAAGAATGCTAGTGAAAATTCCAGTCACCACTACACTGATAACTAAGGTAACAGGATAGTTTTTTGGGCACTTTTCAAATTTTTTGTGAAAAATCACAAGAATAGATCTCCAAAGCATGCTACATATATTGGTATATTTATTTTTTTGAAAAAAAAAATATCTTGTACAAGTAAACTTTATGTAGAAGCAATTTGTTCACGTCCTTCTGACAAGACATACATTTTATACATGAAACTTCAATGCTGTCTATCCTTCCATTTTTACTTTCTCAATTATGAATTTTACTAAATAAAAATTACAAAAAGCAAAAGTAACACTATATTTTCTGTGTTTAAAACATGTCTCTATGTGCATGTAAGCAAAACACAAACCTTGTCAGTATTGTCAACTGTCTCGCATCACAGAAGCTCAAAAATCTCAATACTTAGCATGTTAATTTCAAACACATTCCTGCACCAAAAATGGATGTACAGTGTATGTACACCATTCCCCAAACAAACACTAAATAATTTCTAGTTATTTTATGATAGTACAATTTCAAGACAAAATGAATGCATGCTATTTTCGCATTTACATCTGAGAGACGTGAAGACGAAACCTAGAATGCATCGGTTTAGACCTTGTGCATTTTAGGATGTGTTGTAAGCAAGATTTGCATGGTCTCTTATCTGTAAAACAGTTTACAAAACATGGGAGATTCCACATCAACAGTCTTTGGATCCATTTCAACATCAATTATGAAAGCCTAGGTTTTGTATCTTGATTGTGCTTTTCTTCACTCTGTGTCTTATCATCGCTATTATCTTCAGAGATCTCCTCATCCTCTAATACAAGGGACTGCTTTGCCTGCTCCATCATATATCGAAGTTGGTCATCATATTTTGCACCTAACGTCCAGAGTTTTTCTAATTCATACAGTTCTCTTGTTGGTGTGAGAAATAGATGTAGAACAATATTACCTGTGAATAAAACCATCAATCAAAATCAACCATCAATGAAATTTTGTAAAAAAAAATGGCTATTTGTCAGCAAAACAGTTGAACAAAACAAAAAACCCAAAAATGAATGTGCGTATCTATGTCATTATGTCTTGTCTTCGTACAAACTTTGAACAAAATGGTCCTGACGTATCCAACAAACGGTTGAGGACTCATGAAAATAAAACCAACCTGGTTGCCGGGAGGCCATTTTGAATCAATTCAACTTAACTAAAGGGCATACCAACTAAACAAATCAGCTGGACAAGCATTACCTAAATCAATACACATCCAATCTTCTGTATGTTTTCCCTCCACTTTCACGAATGGATCTTCAGGTCTTTTTTTCTGTTTATACTTTAAAAACAAGACAGTTAAAATTAATCCAAGCAGCACAGATTCATAAATATGCATTTCCAAAGCAGGCTGAATAACAATCTGTCAAACAGAAATGGTTTCTCCAAAAAAGGTATATTTATTATTAAGGCAACTTTTTTCTATTGTCTATGAATTGTCGGTCTTTGTTTGAAATCGAGTGAACCTCACTAAAGCAGGTGCACTACTAATAGAGCAAATACAGTATTCCAACTCACCATCTGGTTAATATACTGAGTAGTTGCCTGTAGATGACGCACTGATTGACAGCTAACAATGACAAAGTAGTCAACATACTGTTTGTGTTTTGGCACTTCGATAACACAAATATCTTGCGTATTTTCTTCTCTCAAAATCTCAACCAATTCATCAATATTGAAAACATAATGTGTTGTATGATCTGTCAGATAAAAAGTATGTGAGTATGTTTTTACAATAAGATTGCTGGCAATTTACCTTAACTAAGGTTCCGCTTATTCAAGAATTGCGGAATTCCAAACTGTTTTACAATTTACTTGCCACTTTTACCAGCAGAATAAAACAAAATCCAATAATAATAAGGGGGAGGGACAACTAAAGTACATTTGCTTGAGCCCCCATCCCAGCCGAAGAATTAAATAATAGTAGAATACCTCAAGTAATTACCTCGCTTGCCAAAAGATTCAAGTTTCCAATTATTCTCCTCGTCACTATGGTGATCAAAATCAGACGCCATTTCTTTCAATAACTTCTTCAATTCCTCGTCTGTTTGAACAGATTCAGTGTGGAGAGAGTCTTTGATTTCTGGCACTTGAGAAACTCCGTCTTTAACAACATTTTCATTTGAAAAAGAATGTGTTGTCGAGTGTATGGTTCGAATTGCATGTGTAAAAAGACGCTTGGCGTAGAATAGTGTCCGCGGACTAGGATCCGAAATGTTTTTACATTTTGAAGTTGAGGTTGAGGCAAATTGCTTGAAGACAGAAAGAGGCGATGGGTGGCAACGTACACTGTATGGCTGGATATATCCGTTAACAGCAGGCGTGGCGATAAATGTCAACTTACGAAGATATCTAAGATGCAGAGTAGGTAACAACGACATGGTGGACCCGAAGAAGACGTGAAACTACGGAAAATTGATCACAACATCGGTCGACCTAGTTATCACGTGTGTGAATGTTTGTATGACCTTCGACCTTGTAGTTAGAGGGACTAAATATAATGTCGCAAAATGTTGTGTTGTGAAATTGTGATAATTTGTAAAGCTCTATTCGAATACAAAGATTTAAATTATTAATGATCGTTTTCTTTTCACTATTACTAGTTCCTATCAGAGAATATGTTAAGTGCTACAGGATTTACGATAAATTGTGAGCGGTTATTTTACGACACTTTTGTTGCCTGAGATAGAAATGACTACATTTGTTGATAACTATTTGCCCTTATATTTTTCTGTTTCCAGTGACGTTATTTACTCAATATTTTCAATAAATATAAATAACACTAATAGAAATATAATAATATGTTGATTTTATTCGCTTGAATTTAATTTGAACTCGTAAGAGAGGGCGCCACCAGTGTTTAAAACTTGTTGTGGCACATTTTGTATAGTATCCAGTAGGACTTGAATTACATGTTCGCCCTAGGGAGAATTTTATTGATTTATTTTTTTAATCAGATTTAATAACAAAGAAGTCCCAACTTTGATAGTAGAGTTATGGACTTACATGCGGATTGGTTAACAATAATGATGGCTGTAAACAAATCGTTCTGTTCGTCCGTCTTTATTTTTGTCGAAAACATGGGATACGACAAAAACCAAACGCGTCACATAATTATTGATTTTGGAATATGCCGTCAACTTTTCGGTTTTTTTTTGTTTTTTTTTTCAAGTTTTCAAGAAAAACTGCCTGAAAAAAGCAATTTCCATGAGAAGCCATGTTAAAGCAGTGTTTAGTAAAAACAAATGCATTACAATCAGTAGATTTCTCATAACTACATATGATTTTTCACCATGTGTAACCAAACAAAATTTTGAGATATTGTATGAATCGAAATTTTCAAGGATATTGACCTGCGTTTTGTGCGAAAAGTAGTTTGCTGACCATCTATTTTAAACGGCGTTTGGGCGTAAATAAACCCCTAGTGTAAACGTTGAGAAAATTGGATCATTTGTAGCAAACTGTGTAAACGTCAAAGGCCGCGTTAGGTTTAAGAATGTCTAAAGGTTTTCGCAGAATGTTCCCAGAAATAAACTAACAACGTACTTCATAAATAGGCGTTGAATAGCGATCATAAAATAAGTGCGACGGACAGTGTGAACATTACCATTAGTTACCATTTTAGTAGCACATATTTTGCGTGTTTCAAATTCACTAAAATCCTGACCATAATTATTCCCTTTCTTCGCACAACCGGTCGTGAAAATATCAATAAGTGGTCATATATGCAGTAATAAGAATTCATATGTCTTCGGAAAAATTGGATCTTCTGTTGTAGTTCATATACCTGGTTAGTATTTTTGAACATGTATACATAATAAAAGGAGGCTTTAGTTTGAAACAGAAAAGTGTTTTTTTTTATATTTATTATTTAAACTGAAGTATAAAATACTACTTCTCATACATAATTTTTTGCATAAACTTTTTTACACAATAAAGAACAATATTGCGTATAACAATTGGTTGCATGGACTCTTTGTTTTTAAAAATAAAGAACAATAAACTCTGTTACCACACATATAGTTTGTCTGTATTCCCTTTGTTAAAGTATCTACTAACTCCATACATGGACATATTTTGCATATCTAAATGTTTAAACATCCACTGTTCTTACAATGAATTACAACATTCACTTGAATAGTTTGTTCTACACTGCATTTTTAATAAATTGATGCATAAAGTTCATTTTTATGATGGCGACTTTGTTTTTAATATGAAGTACAGACGTTGTTAATTCCCCTCCTCTTTTTTGGTGGAGTACTACCTTCCAAAAATTATTTTTTTCTTCTAGAAATAACACATTATTTGTTAGGTATATTGCGGTGTTTGGTACATTT